GGTTAACTCTTTGTCGAGCATTCGAAACCTAATACAAAACAAACACATTATTCGTACGAATTTGTAACAAATGTCGACAAGTAAAATTTTACGGCGTGTTCGGTTTTGTATGTACCTGCTTATCCCAATCGGTTCTTTCGGTTATTATCACTAAAACGATGGTTTGAATGAACGTGCCGATTAACATACCAATCCAAACACCCTGCATTAATACACACACATTTTTTAAATATCGAACGATGAAATTTTCCTACTTAATGTCGATAAAATAGAGAATGTTGCATTAATGCAAAACGTCGAAAAATGCCAAAAAAAAAACTCGCCTCGACTTGTAACTTGATGACATAGCCAAGAAGAACTCCGAAAGGAATCCCGATCAAATAATAGCATCCCAAATTCACGTACACAACGACGCTTTGCCATCCAGCACCAATAGCAACACCTTGTTTTCGTAAACACTAGTATGAGTCCCGTGCAATGCACGGGTAAGAGATATTAACTAATATTTATAAATTAAAAATTCTTATTATAGTATTTATAAATTAAAAATATGGAATCAATTACCTATTATAATTTATTGAAAATGTTATATAAAGTTTAATTGTACAAAATTACATAAAAATATTTATTTAAAATTAATACACAACCCGTGTGGTGCACATAATGATAATAAATCACATTATACTCGCTTCAAAATAAGTATCATTTCAAATTTTTTGTTCATAAACTCGATTGGACTATAATGTAATTCTATAAAATAGTTATTTTGGTAAAAAGTTATCATTAATTTAACAACCTATGTGAATATTAGTATTGATATAAATTTTATCATTTCATTAATTAAAATAATTTATTTTTGTATAAACTATTCAAATAAAAAAAATAAGTAGTTGAGTAATATATTAAACTATAAATAATTGGCTATTTCGTTTGCGTCTAATTTAATATTGACCTATAAATTAATTAGTAATTTATTAAACTATAAATAGTTGACTATTTCGTTTACGTCAAAGTTAATATTGACCCGCAAATTATGAACAATTACTTTTTTATTTTTTATTGTAAATAAAAATCTTTTTAGTTTTCTTCAATATATTATATACTAAATTTAAACCATTCAACTAATAAAGGTAATAGATGCAAGTTTTGTCAATATATTGTATTCTAAATTAAAATCATGCAATTAATAAAGGTAATAGCTGCAATATTTGACCAAAATGATTTCGTACATTAATTAGTTGCTATTTTTTTTCATAAATATCAAATAGCCGAAAAATCAAATATTTTTTTGTTGATTTTTAGTTGCTATTTCAAATAAATATCATTAT